GAGGAGCAGCTGAGGGACCTGGGGGTGTTTAGCCTGGAGAAGAGGAGGCTCGGCAGAGACCTTGTTGTTCTCTCCAGCTCCCTGAGAGGAGGTTGGAGTGAGGTGGGGGTTGGTCTCTTCTCCCAAGTAACCAGCAGTAGGACAAGAGGCAATGGGCTGAAGTTGCACCAGGGGAGGTTTCAATTGGCTCTGAGGCAGAATTTCTTTCCTGGCAGAGTGGTGAGGTGTTGGCCCAGGCTGCCCAGGGAGATGCTGGAGTCCCCATCCCTGGAGGGGTTCAAAAAACGTGTGGCTGTGGCCCTTGGGGACATGGTTTAATGGTCACAGGAGTGTTGGGTTGATGGTTGGACTTGATGTTAGAGGTCTTTTCCAGCCTTAATGATTCTGTGATTCTATGATTTTTGGAAGAAGTGTGTGGAAACTGCTCATGACCATGCTGAGGTTGTCAGGAGACTCTTCTAAGGTGCTAGATCAACAGCTTTATGTCCTGGTTGTGTCTGTTTAGAAAACTCAGATCCTGAGCAACCATCTCAGGAGCCATTCAGACAAACTTATTACTTCTCTCAGAGCTTTGAAATCATAGAATCACAGACCAGTTTGGGTGGGAAGGGACCATTAAAGATCATCTGGTCCAACCTCCCTGCAGGGAGCAGGGACATCTGCAACTAGAGCAGGTTGCTCAGAGCCCTGGCCAACCTCACCTGGAATGGTTCCAGGGATGGGGCAGCGACCACCTCTCTGTTCAGACCTCTCTCAAAGCAGACTGAGATGTCCTCAGCATTGTCCTCTTCAGCCCCAACCTTCATTTCTAGACGCAGGAGCAGAGGACGTGGGGATGTAGCACCACGGCTCTGATTATCTGCTGTGGCCTCACGGACCAAGTGGTTCCACCTCTCCCCGGCGTCCCCCCAGAGCTGCCCAAACTGCACAACAAATGTTGACACTCTTTTGTTTGCCCCTCAGACCAAGAACTTGGACTTCCGCCGAAAGTGGGACAAAGATGAGTACGAGAAGCTGGCGGAGAAGCGGCTCACGGAGGAGAGGGAGAAGAAAGATGGTGCGTGGTGTGCTGGCCCCAGGCCCTCGGCAGGACTCGCCCAGCCCCCTCGAGTCTGGGCTGGGGATGGCAGCCAGGAGTGGCATCCTGGTGGGAAATGGCAGCCCTTTGGGGCTGGCTGCCTCTGGTCCTTCCTCCCTGGGCTAGCCACTGAAAATGTGTCCTTGACAAGTAATTTCTGAGAGCCATTGGCTCTGCCTGTTCTCCAGGGTTGGTGGGCCCCTGGAAACGAGGAGATCTCAGAGTATGAGCCAAGTGAGAGCTGGAGATACTTCATGGATCAACCTGGTTCTAATAGGAGCTGGGAGATGGTGAGGGGGAAATCATATCCTTCACTTATTTAAAAAAAAAATAGATTCCATTTCTACATGGATCAGGTTCCCAGCAGGCCCCTCTTCGTCAAGGGCAACGTGAAGTCCAGCATGTTCAGCGTGACCTCTTCTGATAAACACTTCTGGGCTTTTTTCTTCTCTTTTAGGCAAACCAGCTCAGCCCGTCAAAAGGGAACTTCTGCGGCACCGAGACTACAAAGTGGACCTGGAGTCAAAGCTGGGGAAAACCATTGTCATCACCAAAACCACCCCTCAGTCGGAGATGGGAGGGTAGGTCATGGGCTTCCTGTTGGTCTGAAGGTCCTGCACTGTTCTGCACCAAAACTGGGTCTTCTGGGGTAGCGTACAGAAGGGACACAGTGGGTTGAGCCCCCTCCAGCATTGTTACCTGATAGCTGTGGTGCTTTGCCCACCTATAGAAGCAGCTGAGGCCAATCTCTCCTGGCCACTTGGGTTTTGTTAGCCAGGAGGTTTCCTTGCAGTGCTGGTTGGAGTGTCCCTGTTTGACAGCTTCATGCTGGGAATGGGAGAAACTTCCAAAAACCTGTCTTGAAGTACAGGATTTCTGTCCAACCAAATACCAACAGGTATTTGGCCACTGTGTGGATCGTCTTCAGCCAAAGGCTGGAAGGACTCTTGGCTCCTCCCAAGCTGTTAACAGGCTGAAAAGAACACCTTGGGTTTGTGCCTTTGTAAGAGTTAAGCCTCTTGGTGTCTCACCATTGTACCCGAATGCTCAGTGGTGCCAGGGAGACGTTCAGCCCTGAGCAGCTCCCAGGGTTGGAGGCGCAGGCACGGGGTGGGTTTTTGGAACAGCTCTTGAGGAGGACAGAGCGTAGCACTGGGTGAAGGCAGGAGCTGCTGCCACGGGGCAGTGGGGATGGGAGGACTCACCTCAGCCAGGCAAGAGCCTCCAGCCAGCTGCAGCCTGACAACTAGCACCATGGGGGCAGCTCTGCCTTGAGGAGAGCTCAGAGTCCAGGATCATGGAACTGGTTGGGTTGGAAGAGACCTTTCAGATCATGGAGTCCAACCATTCCCCCAGCACTGCCAGGTCCCCACTGAGCCATGACCCTCAGCACCACATCTCCACGGCTTGGAAACCCCTCCGGGGATGGGGACTCCACAACCGTCCAGGGCTGTCCCAGGTTGGCCAGGGCAACCCTGCTGGGGAAGAAATTGTTCCTCAGGGCTAACCTCACCCTCCTCTTATCCTATCACTTGTTCCCTGGGAGAAGAGCCTGACCCCCACCTGGCTCCAGCCTCCTGTCAGGGAGCTGTGGAGAGCCAGAAGGGCACCCCTGAGCCTCCTTTGCTCCAGGCTCAGCACCCCCAGGTCCCTCAGCTGCTCCTCACCACACTTGGCCTCTAGACCTTTCCCCAGCAGCTTTTTTGCCTTTCTTTGGTCACACTCCAGCCCCTCAAGGTCCTTCTGGGAAGGAGGGGCCCAAAACTGACCCCAGGGTTTGAGGGGCAGCCTCCCCAGTGGCCAATCCAGAGGTATGATCCCTGCCCTGCTCCTACTGGCCACACTAGTGCTGATCCAGGCCAGGATGCCAGAGGGCCTTCTTGGCCACACACTGTCTCATCTCCAGCCAGGTTTCGGCCAGTCCCTCCCAGGTCCTTTTCTGCCAGTCCTCCCACCCCGTTGGTTGTGCCTGGAGGGGGACGATGCTGTCACCGGTGTGGTTACAGCTCACCTCACGGGTCGGTTTCTCTCGTCTCAGGGTGACATGGACACGAGGGTTGGTACCTGGAGGGCTGAGCCAGGCTGGACACTGCCCTGGACGTGTCGTTGGGGCTCTCTGTAAGGGCAGTAACTTCCCTCTTGCCCTGGAGGGAGGAGCTGTGTCCCCAGTCACCTGCAGATTTCACACTGTACGTTCATCTCAAGGAGTTGTTCTGGGAGATGAGCTTTGGCTCATGCTTCGGAGATAATTTTTTCTCCTCTCCTGCCAGATATTACTGTAACGTCTGTGACTGCGTGGTGAAGGACTCCATTAACTTCCTGGATCACATCAATGGCAAAAAACGTAAGGATCATTCTTCTGATTGGTTTGGGCGAGTTGGAGGGTTGGGTGAATTGAAGGTTTGGATGAGTTCAGAGGCTGCTGCAACGCTCTGGGCTGTCCCCTTCATAGAATCACAGACTGGTTTGGGTGGGAAGGGGCCTGGCCTAATATTTCACCTCTGCTTTAGCTAGAAATGCCCTCTGCAAGCAGGGACTCTGGCAACCCCAGGTCCCTCAGCTGCTCCTCCCCACACTTGGCCTCTAGATCCTTCCCCAGCAGCTTCGTTGCCCTTCTCTGGCCACGCTCCAGCCCTTCAAGGTCCTTCTGGGAGGGGGGGCTCAAAACTGACCCCAGGATTCGAGGGGCAGCCTCCCCAGTGCCCAGTCCAGGGGCACCATCACTGCCCTAGTCTTGCTGGCCACGCTAGTGCTCATCCAGACCAGGATGCTGGTGGCCGTCTTGGCCACCTGGGCACACGGTGGCTGCTCTCCAGCTGGCTGACCACCAGCACCCCCAGGTCCTTTCCCTTGGGCACTTTCCAGCCCCTCTCACCCCAGCCTGGAGTGTTGCCAGGGGTTGTTGTGACCCAAGGGCAGGGCCTGGCCCTTGGCCTTACAGGACCTCAGCCCATGGATTCAGCCTGGCCAGACACCTCTGCAGAGCCTCCGACCCTCTAGCAGATCACCACCCCCACCCAACGTGGTGTCATCTGCAGACTGACTGAGGGTGCCTTCATCTCCTCATCCAGATGTTTGGGAAGGTGGTGGGTGCTCTGCAGCCCCTGTGGTGAGGTCAGGTAGGAGCACTGGGCCTCGAGGGCCTACGGTCATGTGCACGGGTGTCGTGTGGCCCCGGGAGCTGCTGCCAGGGGACGGGGGACAGGCAGGACGAGGCTGCTGTGCTGAGGTGTTTAAACTGGGTTCAGGGACCATGTGCAGACCATCAAAGGCTACAGGTACTGCTGAGCATGGCTGACTCCACTTCCGTGTTCCAGACCAGAGAAATCTGGGCATGTCCATGCGGGTGGAGCGCTCCACACTGGACCAGGTGAAGAAACGCTTCGAGGTGAACAAGAAGAAGATGGAGGAGAAGCAGAAGGACTATGACTTTGAAGAGAGGATGAAGGAACTCCGGGAGGAGGTGAGTCTGGGCAACAGCTGACGAAGCAAAGTCCCAGGAAATGTTTGGCGATGAGATCAACACTGGCTCCTAGTCTTGTTTCACAGCAGCCTTGTTCTTGACAGCATGGGCTTCCTCTCTGCTGTGGGTAGCTTTTGTTTTGTTGTTGTTTCTCTCTAAAAATTTCTCTGCTGCTGTCCCTGGAAATTCTTTTCCTCTCTTGTCTGTGTGAGGATAACTTCTGATGTTTCAGGTTTCCACCAAGAGCAGCACAAACCTGAAAGTTCACCTGGATTTTCTCTCCCATTAGTTGTGTTTGAACTTGTGTGCTCTGACTGGTGACTTTGTCCCTGATCTTCCATGGCTCTTAGGATGGATGAGATCCTTCTCCACGTGGAGCATTGCTCCCCGAGCATGGAAGGGCTTTATGAGAGGTGTCTTGTGGTGTGAGGTGGGCGTGGAGACAGCAGGTTCCACTCTAGACATGGGCTTAAGTGTCAGCTCCCTGACACAAAGGTCAAGTTACTTGGAAAACCTGGCTAAAAGAGTTAGAATCATAGAATTGGTTGGGTTGGAAGAAACCTTTAAGATTATCAAGTCCCACCATCCCCCAGCACTGCCAGCACCCCACTGACCCATGTCCCTCAGCCCCACATCTCCACAGCTTGGAACCCCCTCCAGGGATGGGGACTCCACCACTGCCCTGGGCAGCCTGACACAGCTCTGGACAACCCTCAAGGGGAAGAAATTGTTCCTCAGCTCCAACATAAACCTCCCCTGGGGCAACTTGAGGCCACTTCCTCTTGTCCTGTTGCTTGTTCCTTGGGAGAAGAGCCCAACCCCCACCTGGCTCCAGGCTCAGCACCCCCAGCTCCCTCAGCTGCTCCTCACCACACTTGGCCTTTAGACCTTCCCCCAGCAGCTTCATTGCCCTTCTCTGGCCACGCTCCAGCCTCTCAAGGTCCTTCTGGGAAGGATGGAACCAAAACTGACCACAGGGTTTGAGGGGCAGCCTCCCCAGTGCCCAATCCAGAGGGATGATCCCTGCCCTGCTCCTGCTGGCCACACTAGTGCTGATCCAGGCCAGGATGCTGGTGGGTTTCTGCTGGCTCTTCCCTTTCCTCAGCCACAGCCTGGGGGCTGTTGGTGGGACTGGTGTGAGCTCTGCAGTGTCTGGTGTCTCAAAAGCTGGCTGGGCTCCGGAGGTTCACGTTCTGCTCTTCTGTCCCTGTCTGCAGGAGGAGAAGGCCAAAGCCTACAAGAAGGAGAAGCAGCGAGAGAAGAAGAGGCGGGCAGAGGAGGATTTGACCTTTGAAGAGGATGATGAAATGGCAGCTGTGATGGGTTTCTCTGGCTTCGGCTCAACCAAGAAGAATCACTGAGCAGCTCCGAACTCTCCTCTCTCTTGCACCAGGTTGTTTTTACCCAGGGGACTCGGGATAACCCTTCAAAGACTCGATCGAGGACTTGCGTGTCCATCTCCCCGTAGAAGTTAGCTGGAGGAGCCGAGAAGCTGCTCCCTGCTCCGTGTGCTGCAGAACGAGCTCCACCCCATCAGCTTCCCGCCTCCC